TTGCGAACATTTTCTAGAATCCACAAACATTTTTCTAAAACTCATGAATATTTTTCAAAAACACGATTTTTCAAAAAAAAGAAACATTCCTTTTCCAAATCCGGGAACATTTTTCGAAATTGTGCACATATTTTGAATTCATGAAAATTTTCTGAAATCCATGAACATATTTTTAAAACTCATGAATATTTTCTGAGTTCATGATTTGTTTTCAAATTCACATATTTTTTCAAATTTGGGAACTTTTTTGGATTCACGGACATTTTTGAAAATTGGAAACAATTTATGTTGTCAAGAACATTATTTTCCACATTTTTAAAATCCTACCACATTTCTAAAATTGGTGAATATTTTTAAATTCAATTGTTGGTTGAAACCCTGAACATTTTTTAATAATGAAGCATTTTGTTTTACAAAATAAAACAGGGCGCCCGCCCCGCGCTTGGGCTGGCCCAAAAGCGTGCGGGGGTTCGCGTTTGCGTGCTACCCGCCGCGCAGGTCAATGAATAGGAGGTATCCATCAGCTTTCCTCGAAAAAAAAAGGTATCCATCAGCTGCCGCCGGAGGTGGACCGGGGTTTGCTAGGTCTTCCTGCTGTCGCCGCCAATCCTACGCACCCTTCCTGCAAAGCAGCCAGTTTTCCCACAGAAGCTCCCCCCGCCGCCCTGCCCGAAAATTTCGCGCGGATGGCGCCCGATTCCGAGCCGCGTCCACGCGCCCTCGAAACATTTCCTCCTTCCCGCTGGCGCCACTTCTTCCCCCCCCCATTTCCAGAGCCGCCCCGGGTATTTCACCATCACCGCCTCCAGAGCTAGCCTCCTCGCGCCATCACAGCACAACCCTTCTTCGTCTGGAGTGTTGTTAGTCAGGAGCGGCGCAGATGGAGGGCATGAGGAGGTTCGTCAACCCGCTGAAGCTCAACGTGCAGAAGATGGAGCTGGAGCTCACCTGCCCCGTCTGGTACGCCACCTCGCCCTCCCTTCCCTTCCCCCCCACCCCGCATCTTAGTTCTCTGGATCCAGATGCGGACTGAGGCTACAACTTTGTATGCTTCTCGCGAGGATCCCATACAATATGAGCACCGATAATACTTGCATACAAAAAAGTGGACTTTCCTAGATCTGGGTCCGGGTAAAGCTTTGCCTCCTTGATTTGTACCGACTGATGATCTCAATTTTTCTTTTTTTTTTGCAGCCTGAAGTTGCTCAGCGCGCCTACGATGCTGCCGTGTTGCCACACATGCTGCAGGTTACTACCCTTACAACCTAACCGATGTGCCATTCTCTCTACTCACATCGCCTTGTGACGAATTTCTTGAATTTTTCCAGCAAATGTGCCACTCCGCAGGCTATGAATGGCCACAGCTGCGCCATTTGCAAACTAGCCTACCATCCTCAAGGTACACATCGTGGTAAACCGAGGCGTTTGGTTACGGAGTTTTCACTAATTGCTCGCCTGATATCGAAACCACTTGCAGATTTAAGACCTGCTTCTCAAATTGAGGCGTTAGTGAACATTCAGAGGAGCATAAGCTCTACGGTCAGCAGCATGTCTCTGCAGCTCGGGACTCAAGCAGACATTCATGGTACACTATTGACCAATTCCTGTTTTTGTGCTCTCAGAACAATAAGCACAAGGTTTCTTCTAGTTGCGAGACCATACTAGTATGTTGGTTGATTTGAAAAATTCTTCTTTTGGTCAGTTGCAAAGGCTACATCTCAAGGAACTCCAGAATCAGGAACGACAAGTTCTTACAACCTGGATGCTTCAAAGCTGCCATGTAACCAAGCATCTGGACCTGCAAATGAAAATGCTGATGGTGTGCAAGCAATGGATCCTGCACCAGGAAACAGAACTAATGATGTGGCAGTTGAGCCAACGGTTATTGTACAGACAGGACCGTGTGGGTCTCAAACTCCTGTTGGCTCTGGGGATCTGGAATGTGATAGCAATGACCTTGAAGGAGAGTTGGTAATATTCTATCTTTTGCAGAGTAATAACTTGTTTCTACAAGCAAATTTGCTTTTCCCTCTCTTTGCATCTGGTATATCCTCTTTATAATGAAAAATCTCACTCCTGAAACCGGTCATTCTGTCAGATAACAAGCGGATCACCTCCTCAGAGTACTTTGAAAAGAGGGCCAAATGTAACAGATGACAGTACTAGAGGACTGAAGAGGCAAAAATCCTCAGATCAGAGTGAAAGTAAGTACTATTTAGTTTCTAACTAGTTACCTTTCTGAATTTCCAGAAATGGAAGACACTAATGTGATTGCAAACATCAATGCAGAACAACCAAGTATGAATGCTGCATGGAAATGCGAGTTTTGTCACTCTTCCGAAATCAGTGAGGTCAGACAATGGGCAAAATTTGATCTGTGTGCTTTATTCACCCACCGCTGTTTGACTAGCGATGCCACTGACTGTTTGTATACTGCATAATCTAATGTACTTTTTAAAACTCAGTGTACTGGCCCTTTGTTGCATTGTTTGGATGAAGCACTAGTGAAGGATGATCAAGCATGGAAATCTAATGTTCTCCATGTCCACGAGAAATGTGCTGAATGGTATGTTCCATGCAAGATTTGAGCTTATCTTTCTGTATTTACAAAAAGGCTTACTTCTCTGACTGAAAACATACATTTCACTTTGCATTTTTGTGGTTTTGTTTGTCTTATATGGCTTGTTTCTAGTATCTGTGTTGTGATTACTAAGTTACAATACCAATACAGGGCTCCTCAGGCATACTTTGAAGGTGATATGGTTAAAAAGTTGGAGTCTGAGTTGGCCCGCTCTTCGAAGATGAAGTGTGGTATTTGTGGATTAAAAGGTGCGGCACTGGGCTGTCTTTTTAAGAGCTGCCGCAAGAGCTACCATTTACCATGTGCCCGTGGGGTCTCAGGCTGCAGATGGGACGAAGTAAGTCCTGCATCCTTTTTTTGATCTGCATTATGTTAAAATGCAGTTCCTTTTTCTGGTAAACATTTTCTCAAGTCCTATAATCAAATAAATGTGATGTGCTTTAGGGAGAGTTTGTTATGCTGTGTCCTACCCATTCATCAAAGAGGCTGCCATGTGAGAGATCGAAGTCAAAAAACAAGAAGGCCGCCCAGCCGCAACAGTGCGTTCTCTGCGCATGTTATTTATGCTGCATTTTGCTATATCTGCATCTGTCTCTTGATGGACTTCACCTTTCCTCAATTTGCCAGACCATCTTCTGAAACAGTGCTTGGTGATTCGAACTCACCATTCCCGATGGAGATGAATGAACTTTGGACCTCACTTTGTCCGACAAGTGAATGGGTGATATGTGGATCTGCCCTCTCTGATCAAGACAAGGTAATTCTTGCTTGTTTGATTATACCATTCACATACTATTACCTTGTGTGACTGCTCCGATAACAAAGTTGTCTTGGTGTCTCTGGAAACTTAACAGGAAATCTTGGATCAGTTTGAGTACCACTCAGGCGTCACAACAACCAATAACTGGAGTTCAAACGTAACTCATGTGCTTGCCAATACCAACGAACATTTAGCATGTGGCAGGACACGAAAGGTTCTCCTGGCCATACTTGCTGGGAAATGGGTTGTCAATGTGAATTGTAAGTACATGTCCTCTGATGACCAAGTTCTCTTGATTGGTCCCACTTTTCCTTGACCACTGCACATGTTAGACACAATAGTTTGCTTACATGTGGTCACTTTGTTTTGTATTTATCCTGGCTATTAAGCTTAGCAGAACATTACTTGCTGTGTGGACATTGTGCGTGAATTTACTTTGGTTTCCCTTGTTGCACCCTTTTTGGAAGGAAGTTCTTATACAGCATTGTTCTGATATTTAGGGCTGAGTGCTTGCCTGGAGGCTAAAAAACCAGTCCCAGAAGAGCCCTATGAGATTTGCTCTGATGTCCATGGCGCCATTGATGGCCCCCGTATAGGAAGACTACGAGCAATGCAAAAGGTTTGTATAGGAATTCATTGAGAAAATTAGCAAAATGTAAAATAAAATCTGAACAGGCTATTGAGTGCACATCTTTCTTTCTGTAGGCACCAAGTCTGTTTTCAGGGTTGACCTTCTACTTCATTGGCCATCCTCTGACATTCAAGGTTGAGCTTGATGAATTGATTGCCGCGGCAGGGGGATCAATTTTGGGCAAGGCTGATCTCTCTAGCACATCCCTGATTGTTTACAACAAGGAAGTTCCGAATGGATGTAATGAAGACGCTGTTGATGAGGTTTTCAGTAAGAGGGAAGCTGAGGCTCTAGACCTGGCAACAACATTTGGCTGCAGGGTTATTCCTCATACATGGGTTTTGGATAGCATAGCATCCTGCACTCTTCAACCTATCTGACATTGTATCTACCTTTTTTGATCGAGAGTACATTTGAAATGCTGTAACATGAGCACCGAATCAAATGAAAGAAAGATCTTCTCTTTTCATCGTCGGTGACTTTGTGTTGTCACACTCTTACCTTTCTTGCCAAATAAAAGAAAATCTTATGTTTCACCTACCGACCGCGACTGGTGCAGCTGGTCTGCTATTTCTTCTGGAAAAATAAACAAGAGGTGAAACTTGTAGGATTAGGTTTGCTCTAAAAGACCCATCTTGGGCCGATTTTAAACTGGAAATTTTGTTCGACACCTTTGGGTGCCGTTCCAAAAATTTCTGAATTTGGCTACGCAGCTGATCATTCAGTGCTAGAGCAGTGGGAGAAAAGCATGGGATGATTGTGGAGTGAATTGGAAACAAAGCAAGGGTGAAGGGAGGCTGAGGTCACTGGGTGTCTAGGTAGGTTGCTTCTGAAGCAGTCCACCAATAACATGGAGAGGTCCCCTTCAGGCTCTCCAGTCTCACCAGTCAGATAGTCACCCTTGTCCTTTAATTGTTGGTGTGGTGTTGCCTCATGCCAAAACAACTCCTGAACCTCTTCGTTTTCCCACCATCATCACCAGGGCCATTATAAAGGGACGGCGCCCGTGGATCCCCGGCAGCAAAGCCATGGCGTTCTTCAACGGCGGGTCGCGGGCGCTCGTCGAAATCCTGACGAGGTTCCAGAGGTGCTAGCTCATCTTTCCAGTTCGCATTTCGTTCCGACTGAAGCAGAGTTTGACTTGATGTCTTTTGCTCATGCTTGGATGCTTGCAGCTCTGAGAGGCCAATGCCGGTGGACCACACCTTCTTCGAGTTGGGATCAGTGCGATACCATGTACAGGTGAATGATCCCATCTTCGAATCAGCCACAAACCATGTGTATATTTGTTGTCAGCGGTGCTCTCAGAAACTGCCAGCTGATCGAATGAACTATGTGCAGGCCTCGGCGTCGGACCCCGAGAACGTGTACCTGTCGATATCGACGCCGTCCCTCTTCCACGAGGCGTCGACGTCGACCTGCCTGCCGGAGTTCACGCTGCAGGAGGTGAGGAAGATGTACCACAAGTTCGCGGAGATCGTGGAGCCGGCCAGAGAGGGGTACGCACTGACGCTGAAGCTCAACTTCTCCGGCCTCACCAGGCCGAAGGATCGCGCCAGGGCTGTCCGGCAGGTGTCGCTGCTGCAGTCCATCGTCCTCGGGTCGCAGCTGAAGCACCTGCTGGGGAGCCTCGGCTCCTCCGGTGCCACCAAGCTCGTGTACAACCACCGCGACCCCTTCTTCGTCAGCAGAACGGTACGCCACTACTGTCTTGCTTGCGAGTCCCGTGGAGACGAAGTTCAATTGTAGTGCTAATGGCGTGGCTCTTGGCCCTGCAGCCGGGGAAGATCAACGCCATTTTCCCCATGCGTTTCCGGGACGACACGGACGTAGCCGTCGCCACCTCCTTCTTCCAGGTGGGTGCTCGACACCAGCCAGCAGTAGTAGTTCAGTACCCACCCACCTGCTTTTTCCCGTGCCCCTAGACCTGAGTGAGGTGTACGGATGCAGGAGCTGCAGGACGCAGGGAGCTCGTACGCGAAGGCGCCCAAGTGCAGCTGGTCGGCCATCCCACCACCGGAGCTGCGGGGGGAGTCCGTGCAGCACCTCACCACCAACGGCGGCTTCGTCTCCTTCGGTACGTTGCGTTGCTCCCTCTTGTCTTGTGTCGCCTGGAGTTGGAGTTCTCCGACGTGCTGGATGTATATGATTTGCAGACATCTTCGAGCGGCACGTGAAGCGGAAGAGGGCCGCCAAAACGGCGTGGATCCTGCTCAACTTCCAGGCCTACGTCAAGTACCACATCAAGGTTAGCTCCATCGGCTCCCAATTTTGTTTTTGAAAGTAGCTCGACCGGGTCCCAGTTAACGCTGGTTGTATCATGCGTGTCCGTGGACGCAGTGCACCCGAAACTACATTCAGAGCAGGATGAGAAAGCGGCAGGAGAGCTTGGCAGAGGTACAGACTTCCCCCCAAATTTACAAAATAACAAGGCATAGATAGAAACCAAGAAAAGTGTAGGGAAAATTTTACTTTACATCATACGCGGAATACTTCTATTCTATATATACGTACTTCATAAAGAAAAGCGTACAGTTTTGCAGGAAAAAAGGGTACGTGTTTATGGGTTTATCGGACATTAAAACCAATAAACGGAAAGAATGAGAAGAATGGATGTAAACACGCTGTCATTTGTACTTGCCTACCTTTGACAACTCTCGCAGACTACTGAAAGAGTTTGGAATTTCGACGTTCCCGTAGCTAAAACCAAGTTTGTAGTGATTACCGTTTGTTCATTGAGCTGCAGGTAATCCAAAATGCGAGGCTAAGGGGTGGCCAGGATAAGAAGAAACTACAAGGTAACTTTACCTGCAAACTCCAGCTCTTTAAGCAAGCAGAATTCCGAAAAGCTGCAGATACCGCAACCTCACCGACTCATTTGTTGTTACAAAGAGAATGTCGGCTGTGATTAGATCCGCGGCTGAATTCACGTGCCCCGGTAACATTAATTAGTTAATTAACCACAACCGAGCGGTTAAACTGCGGGTAGTTCCAGGAAGAAGATCATCAAGCCTTTTCCTTTTGCCTTGCAGTGAGGAAGAAGAGCAAGAGAAGGCTGTTCAGCCTTGGCAAGGCCAAGAAACTGCAGAAGGGTTTTAGGTCCGTCATTGACGGGCTCCGACGGCTCCGGCTGAGGATCAGAGTGAAGGCTCTGGACCGGTTCAGGCGGTGCTTTGTCATGCCCAAGCTCGCTACGAAGAAGCATGATTACCTCAGACTAGGAGCATGAACAAGGATCCCATTCTGATGTCAGGACACGCCCTCAAGCATAGACATTCAGAATATGAGTTTCAGGCTAGCTTTCTTCAGGACAAAGAGCTTTTGCAGGTTGTTTTCGTGCATGTGCAACCTGGCAATTTGGCATTATCAAGTACAGTGGTACTACATACTACATGCTAAAAGCTAGACAGCATCGCCGTACATGATAATGATGTAACTTACTGACCAGAGGAAGGACACTTAGATAATTTCAAGGATCGATGTCGTGCAAGGGATTCATGGTGTTTTCATGTAGTACCTATTAATAAAACAGAAATGGCCAAATCAATTTTCTCTGTCGCACAGCAAGAGGATACGCAAAGCTAAATGGCCATAATATACTTTCTTCTACATAAAAAATATGCATCTAAGAGCATCTCTAGTTGAACACCCTCTTAGGATTTAAGGGTCTCTAACCCATCCCCAAAAGAGGTAGTCTCAATAACCATTTTGGCCTCACAAAAAAAAGCCCCTTTCTCTGAACAGACAGGGGCAAATCATTTGTTGTATTTGTTTAGACAATTGTTTCATTTGAACATTTATTGTGTTTGAATTTGAATTTTTAAAAACAACAATAAGTTTAAAATGATGTTAAAATATTTACATCGTTCAAATCAATGTTTGAATTAATATGCTGTCAAAAGATAGTTGAAATGGATTTGAAGTTTGCAAAAGGAAGTGGGATATATCAAAGGAAAGTTTAGGAAGTTAAGTTTTGGGGATTGGTTAGAATGCAACCTAGAAAAGCCAGATTTTTGGGGGATTCAAGTTTTGGGGGTGGCTTTTTACGAGTTAAGTTTTGAGCTTCAACTAGAGATGCCCTAACTAATACTCTTAACACCCTTTCAAGCTCAAAATGGATCTAAAATATTGAATATGAGAACACAAAGTCTATGTTGTTCTATAGTCTAACGCTTGATGAAGAAATATGCCTGAATCTCTCATGAGACATTGGAAACGAATAGTTGTTGTCAGTGATGGAAGCACATCAACCATGCATCCACGCCACATATGCTTGGTTAGCTTATTCTTATATGGATAATAGACAATCTGAATAAGATCAACACCATCACATAGAGCGAGGTGGGTGCACCACATGAACCAAGATCAGTCGAGAGCCGTTGAAGCCGTAGACACTACCAGACATGACCTTTCCAGTTAGCTATAAATTCCATTGCTAGCAAGCAATCAAGGCGATCCAGTTGGGGGTTGGTGACCCCAGGTCTCTTTGCAATTGGTGAAAGTGCATCCATTGCCCCCTCGTGGGTTTTTGGTGATATATGACAACTTGATTAAAGGACCAATGTTTGTTCAAGTATATTTGAGAACAAGTCCCAAAAGAAGCAATTTGGAAAGATGGTTGTTGACCCTCAATTCTTCACAAACGTTTGGCAAGGTTAAGGACATCTTCTATAGCTTTTAGTGATCCAAGATTACATTGAGTCCATATGTGTGCACAACTTATCAAAAGGAGATCCAGTTTGTGAGGTGATACTTTTCTTTCAAAGTGCTTAGAGATCAAACCCCAAAATCACTGAACCTTGAATTTTTCCATGACTTTATCTTACATTTTACACTGTTTGGAGCCACCAACTCAGATCCACTTGGAGCCCCGACTCCATTCCAAAGAGATAGCTCTTGTGCCAAAGTGCCATTCGGAGCCTTCGACACATCTACGTTGGAACCTCCAAAATTATTGTGCAAGCCTCTGTTGCTTGGTCGAAGCCTCCGAACCATCCTTGTTAGAATATTCCAAGTGTCCAGTAGCGTGCACACCAGTTCTAGTACCGACCCCATGATTCTAGTAAAGAAAGCGACCTTATAACTACCTAGTTACGGAGTAGTGTTTGACAACCACTAAGTAACTCACTGCACATCTCAAGTACATGTGACAATATCATGTCCAAGAACATAGCATTGTTATAATAAAAGAAAACCAACAATATTCCGACTATATGTCAAGTTGAGTCCGTCTAACCCCTTGTTTCTAACATGTATTCACATTGTTGATTCGACATCTTCATGTCCATGACCTACGAAACTTGGCTAGCAACCAATACATGTGCCAATATAATATATTAATATATCCATAATCTTTCTGATCTTAAACTAAGGACATGATCATAGTGAACAAGCCAAAGAACTTCATTTGTTTGAGTGCCAAAGAGAAGAGAATATATTATTTGGTAACAAACTAACCACTTCAATAATATGCTAGTTTGCGGGGTATACTTACCCAGGAGGTTCTACATAGGAGTATATGGCAATATTAAAGAACAAAATTTTTCAGGGTTTCCATGGATTGCAGCATAAGTTGCATTTCAAAGTGAATAATCAGACAATCCTATTGTCCATCAAATTATCAAAAGGACTATGAGTGGACCCCATCTGTCAACTTTCTTGTACCTCATATCTTCTCCTTTCTTTGTCAGCTTTCTTGTACCCCATATCTTCTCCTTTTTTTCTCCCTTTCACCCTCTTTCTATGTCCCTCTATCTAGAAATCTGTTCTATGTGCACGAACCCGCTGTTGTGATGCAAATGCTAGTGCCTGTGGGGTGCTGGAGGCCGCCTCAGTCGCCACCAGCTTTGGGCAAATTTGACAATTTTGACCTATGGATGAAATTATTTCACAAAATGAACTGCGCCTAAAAAAAATTCACTCAACTGACATTTTTGAGTGGCGCCCGACACGAAGGCGCCACACTACACTGTGTAGCGCCTGACTGACAGGCGTTGCACGCCTAGCCATCGTCGCACCCGGATGATCCGAAAATTACTAAATCAGTGTGCAGAGCACCTGAGAGCTAGACGCCTATACAGTGTAGCGCCTAGCGTCTAGGCGTTGCACTAGTGGTTGCTTCATTTTGTAGTGGTAAATAATGCAACCACTAGTGCAACGCCTAGAGGCTAGGCGCCACACTGTATAGTGTGGCGCCTAGCTCTTAGGCGCCGCACATTGACTTAGTAATTTTTAGGCAGTCCGGGGTGCGACGCTGGCAGGCGTGTAGCGCCTGTCAGTGAGGCATTACACAGTGTAGTGTGGCGCCTTCGTGTCGGGCACCACTCAAAAATGTCAGCTGAGTGAAATTTTTTAGGGGCAGTTCATTTTGTGAAATGATTTCATCTACATGTCAAAATTGTCAAATTTGCTGCAACTTTGAGCTTTTCATGTGCTATCATCCTAGCCCTTCCAGTTTTTTGAAAGAAAGTTCGAGCTTTATTCATTTGAAATAATCATTACATCGTTTATGAGGATTGGTACAATTGCATTATGTGGTTCCTCAAACCAATCAGAAATGAAAGAAAATCTAGCCAACTTGGCAAGTTCATGAGCAACTTTATTTGCTTCTCTATTACAATGCTCGAATCTAGAAATAGGAAAATCACAAGCTAAGTGAAAACAATCATCAAAAATTGCAGCTGCTGCCCCCGACGATCGTCCTCCTTCGTTCATGGTCTCGATCACCTCCATATTATCCGATTTAACAATTATGCGATTACAACCCGTCCTTTGCGCAAGCGATAGGCCAAATTTTAACGCCAAAGCTTCAGCCATCAACACATCTACACACCAGTCAATCTTACCATTTCCCCCACCGATGAACCTACCTTTGTCATCTCTTAAGACAGCCCCGATCGTATCCCTGAGAAGGTCGTGATCAAAAGAAGCATCAACATTAAGTTTAACAAATCCCGTCGGGGGATTAGACCATCCTCCTCTTTTAATGGAAGCCTTCGGCGAGGAGGCATTAACAAAATTGGCAGCGAGAGCGCGTATCCCCATGGATATATGTTGTGCATTCTGAGTAGTCTCATTGTGTATCAATTTGCGCCTTTCCCACCACAAGTACCAGGCTGATATGGCAATCATGTCTCGCACATTACGAGTGCCCATAATACATAGTTCCTGATCTGGTAATGAAAGTAAATATTCCAAGATTGCCTCACCCGCATAGTCTATTTTACAAGCTCTGTCGATAATATCGTCCATCCCTAGTCTTCTCCACACTTCTTTTGCTCTGTCACATAGAAACAACAAGTGTTTTGTGTCTTCTAGCCCAGATGAGCAGGCAGGACACTTAGGCGAGACTTTCACATGTCTATTAGCTAAGTTAACACGACACGGAATAGTGCCGTGAAGTGTACGCCAAATAAATATGTTAACCTTTGCTGGACAAGCAAGCTTCCAAATCCTCGCCCAAATAGGATTGACCGTGGTACGTTCCATCCCATTGGTATGTCGTAACTTGTTCCCATATTGGTGGTCCCATTCCACAAAATAAGCAGACCGAACTGAAAAGTCCCTTTTTTGTGAAATTCCAAGCTATGAAATCTGGCATATCATGTTGCGATATCGGGATCGTAAGCACTCGCTGAACATCAATAGGCCATAGAGTCTGCGTGAGAAGATCTTCATCCCAACTATTTAGGATTGGATCAATCAAATCTGCTACCTTCATAACAATGGCCTCCCTTAGGGGTAACAATTTTACGGTTTACACAATTTGGAATCCATGCATCCTCCCAAATGCCAATATTCTGCCCGTTTTCCACTCGCCAAATATGACCACGCTTCAGGGAGCTCACACCCGCCATAATACTTTGCCAGGTGAAGGAAGATCCCTTCTTCAGGTCAGTGTTCAACAAGTCACCGTCAGAATAGTATTTGACTCTCAAAATAGTAGCACATAGAGAATCCGGATTCTCGAGAAGACGCCAAGCCTGTTTAGCCAGCATAGCCAAATTGAAACAATGGATATCCCGAAAACCCATTCCTCCTTGGTTCTTGGGTACACACATTTTCCACCAAGCCATCCAATGCATCCTCCTTTGGTTGTCCTCATCTCCCCACCAGAAATGCGCCATCGCGTCAATAATTCCTTTGCAATTTTTTTAGAAATTTTAAAGACCGACATTGCATAGGTGGGAATAGCTTGAACAACCGCTTTAAGTAAGATCTCCTTTCCTCCAGCCGACAGAAGTTTTTCCTTCCAGCCACTAATTCTCTGAACAATACGATCAATTAAGTATTGAAAACAATTGGTTTTATCTAAACCCACATTGGCCGGCAGTCCTAAATATTTGTCATTCAAGGCCCCAGTCATTATATTGAGAATTGTACACATTTGTTCTCTAGTGTCCACTCCCGTATTAGGGCTAAAAAAGATGCTGGATTTGTCAACACTAACCATCTGCCCTGAAGCTGCGCAATACGAATCTAGAACTGATTTTAATGTTTCCGCACTTTGCAAATTTGCTTTGCTTTCATAAGGATTAAAGAGTCATCAGCAAAAAGAAGGTTCGTGACAGATGGGGCATCTCTGCAAACCTTTACTCCTGAAATATTCCCATTTTCTTCCGCATGCGTTAGTAAAGTTGTGAGACCCTCCGTGCATAACAGGAACAGGTAAGGAGACAGCGGGTCTCCTTGCCTCAGACCCCTAGTAGGTTTAAAGCTTTCACTCTCCTCCGCATTAAACCGAATACGATATTCAACAGTAGAAACACACTCCATAATAAAATTTACCCACACCTCACGAAATCCAAGTTTGAGCATAATCTCCTTGAGAAAAGGCCATTCAACCCGGTCATAAGCTTTATGCATATCCAATTTTATCGCACACTTCTTTGCCTGCTCTCTTTTTCTTGATGGTGTGGAAGCATTCGTATGCCACCAATACGTTGTCCGTAATAAGTCTTCCAGGAACGAATGCGCTTTGAGTTGGGCTAATAATATCTGGTAGGAACACCTTTAGGCGAGAGGCAATCATTTTTGCAATAATTTTATACACCACATTGCACAGACTAATTGGTCTAAACTGGGTTACCTTCTCCAGAGAATTGACTTTTGGTATCATCACAATCGCAGTATCATTCCAGCTAGATGGGATAGTGCAAGTGTTTACTGCTTTCAAAACCTCCTCGATCAGATAATCTCCTAACATTGGCCAAAACCTTTTATAGAAAATAGCATGGAGCCCATCAGGCCCTGGGGCTTTCAAATCCCCAATGTCGAACAAGGCTTTACGAACATCGTCAGCTGTATACGGAGAAAGGAGGGCATTGTTCATCTCAGTAGATACTCTCCTCTTTACCAGTGATAACACATCCTGATTAGGTTGCTCGATCTCTGAGGTAAAAAACTTTTTAAAATATTCTGTGATATGATCCTTCAATTCCGTATCTTGTCGCCAGTTGGTGGCAACAGATAGAGAATATGTGTGTGGAGTGGGGTTTCTGGTCTTGACCCGCACCTCAAGGTGACGGCATATGGCCCGCAGGTGGCCAAAATATCCTTAGGCCAACTCCAACCCGCGACCTCAAACGGACGTCCGGTTCATCCGCTTTTCGTCCGTTTGAGCCAGGAAAACGAACACGACCGTCCGTTTGCGGTCGTGCATCCAACGGGCACGCCCCGTCCCAAACCGTCTGGGTTCGTGGACTTCAATTTTTTGCACCCCCCAAAGAAAGAAAATAAACTAGCAAATAATACGAAAACATGATTATAAACATAAAACATCCATATGTCCATAGTACCAAAGTTCAACGCAGGTCTTAATTAAACTAAAACTTAATAAAAAGCATAAAAAAGTAGATAAAGGCCCGTCGCCGGTGGCCGTCGTCGTCTTTAGGAGTCGTCGTCCTACTCGTCGTCGCCGGTGAGTTCGACGTAGGGCGGTGGCTGCCACAGGTGGGCTGACGACCTCTACCAGACCGGAGGCGCCGGTGGCGCCTGCACCACCTCCTCCAGTGGCTCTTGCTCCTGCTCCGGCGACCGTGGTGGCGTTGCTGACCATGGGCCGACTCCCACCGATTCGGCCATCTCCGGCGCCATGCAGGACCAGCTCCACCGCTGGCCCACCAGACGAGGGTCCCACACGGCAAGGGGCTGCTCCTCGTGAACCTCCTCCTTGACGAAAACGTCTAGCTCCGGGATGGCCACGTCGCCGGCCGTAGAGAGGGACAACGCGGTTTCCAGGCCATTCCCATTGCCGCTCGTCGTGCGTGTTCATGGAATCCTCCATGACACGCCTCATGAGCCGGGCCTCCTCGTCATGCGTGGCGCCAGTGGAGGGGACAGAGATGGCGACGGCGTCAGCGAGATGCCGCGCACACGCCTACGGCCGCACACTTGGAGCGGGCTGTCTGCACGAGCCGGACACAGTGGGCGCTGGCCAACAAAGTAGGACCGTCGACGCAGTTTGTGCTCGTCGCGGAACCACGTGTCCCATAGAGGCGAGTCAATGCCATACCTGGAGTCCCACAGCAGATCCGATGGCAACGGTTGATCTCTTTGCGGCGGGCGCGACCGCTCACCGGCACCGCCGGGATTAGCGCGTGGTCCGTGGAGAGATGCCAGTTGTTTGGCAAATGAACATCTCCCCGCGGGAGCGGCATGGACGTCTCCCAGTACCGGCGGCAGACATCGACGTGGACGTACATCCTATTGCGCTGGCCGGCCACCGGCGGCGCGAGCTGAAAGGCCGGCGGTGCGGGCGGCGCGGATCTGCTGGAGCTGCGCCGGCCAGACGAGGAGGCGGCCTCGTTGTCGTGCTTCTCCTCGCCGCTGATCCAATGCCAGCCCATGGCGCCGGTGGGAAGGTTGGCGAGTGGGGGTGCGGTGGCGCTGGCTACGGTTTGCTCGCTCGTGTCGGGGCTCGAGGAGGCAGGCCGGCGGGGAAGTGGAAGCTGTTGATTGCCTGATCCAAGGCTTCCAATTTAAGAAGGACGACGACCGCATGATGTGTGGCTGACAGTAGGGGCCCGCCGCACGTGCACATTTAGTTTGGGCGGTGGAGGTAGGTTGGCGGCCGCCACGCGTCCCCGAGGCGGGCGACCCGCAAGCGCGTGCCCGTCTGTTCGGCGTCCGTGTAGACGCAAACCGAGCGCATATTTGCGTCGAAAATGCAGCGGGCCGGACGCCAAACGGACAAATTTGAGGACGCAGCCACGCGTTGGGCTGTGTTATATGTCCGTTTTGGTTCAAACGGACGCGCGCACACAAGATGGGATCGCGCGTTGGAGTTGGCCTTAGCTCATATGTCAAGGAGAACCATGTACTAGACTCGCATGCCAAGCAAGGACGTGCCAATACCAATCAAGGAGGAAACACCAGATGTCATTTAGTTATCTGAGGGCTGTGTCATATTCAGTGCAGCTCCCTCGGACATTCTATTGAACACGGTTTCCATTTAAGATTTGTCTATCTGTCCTTAATATTATCGAATACTACATTCATAAAGTAATATAAAACGTTTAGATCATTAAAGTAGTGATCTAAATGTTCTCGTATTTCTTTATAAAGGGAGTAGTAGAGTACTATATTGCTCGCAAAAAGAAAGTACTATATAACTTTCAGGAGCGGCGTTTCAGCTCCGGCAAAATAAAAATTTCGCCAAAAATAGCAAATAAATTCAAAAAATTCCGAATTTTTGTTGCAAGCCAGATGCCTGTGTGCGTGATCTTCATGCAAATTTTGGTAGAGTCTTGACATTCAAGGAGCACGCGATAAAAAAGACAAAATTCGGCTATGTGAGTAAGGTTACTGTTCACGCAATGTTCTGGCCGATTTTCTCTTTTTTGCCACGAGCTCCACATATGTTCAAATGGGATAAAAATTAAAATTTGCACGCACATCATGCACTCGAACATCTTCCATTCAATTTTTTTTCTATTTTTTTATCGTGCTACTGTTCACCAGGTTCATCTAGACCTGGGCACCGAATTGGATATTTGATAACTTTCTGTACATTCACAGTTTGACTTGACTAACTTGCTTACACAAACTGCAGCTCATGTCACACGCGCATGCTTATTACTCCTTCTGTTCCAAATTATCCAAGTCATTTCACACACGCATGTTTATCCCCTTCCACAACAATAATTTTGTAACGGAGGGAGTAATTATTATGTTAGTTCCCAGCTGACTACAACATTTCCTGTTTCTGTTATTTTAACCATTTATGTTCCTCTTCATTCAACCAGAAAAATGAAATTATAATCAGAATGCCTGAATCGCATGAATGTCAGAGGACCCCACATCCCAAATTCCAAAATGAAGCCCAAGAGGGCAACATAAGCAGAATCGGAGACAGAAGCCTTCACCTAAGCAACACAAATGCCAATAGCAAGCAACAACATGTTTTGTGTGATCAAACACACTAAAAAAGCATGTTTTATGACTTGGATTTGAGTACTTCTGCCTAGAATGTGCCTTGGAAGGCAAGCCAGAGAAAAATACAGTTGGGGAAGTGGATACTGTGAAGGAATAAAGACTGGTAATGGGAACGGAAACATGCATGGGCACATGAAAAAAATGACTTCTTTACACAATATTGCAAGAGCATATTGTGCAACCGTCCATGCATATAAAAATGCAACCGGAGCTTGAAGTTCTTAGCAGAGCTCGCTTGCTGAGGGAGCTGCTTACCTTGGAAGAGAGAAAAGTGGTCGCTCATCCATTACCATGGCAACACGGCCGGGTCCTTTGACCGAATGGCCATGGCACTGGATGGGCAGCTTCAAGGTATGTTACATCTTGTCTGCACTTTACGTGCTACTGTCTGTTTGGAGTGTTCCTTTCTGATATTTGTTTTTGGTTCAGAAATGTAGGACATAATGTTTTATTTTATCTAGCTAAATTCATGTTTGCAAATTTAGGAACATCATATGATTGAGCGACCAAAAAAATAAACTAACTACTTCAATGAGGATATTCATATATTTATATATTTCCTTCAAAAAGTATGCATTAAATAAAGTTTCATACGCATCATAATGTCCCAGTACTGAAGTCAGGTGGAACAGGAATTGCAGCAAAACTTGCATGTCGTAGTGAACACTCAAGACTATTCTGTTATCAATTAAATAAAACTACCTGTATTTTGAATTGTAAATAGTATATTCTAGCATAAGCGTTTCAGTCCCATGTTGCTGATTCCCTGAGTACTTTTCAGTTTTTCACATGATCCAGAAAAACTGCTTCAAGAAAAACGATGGAAGCAAATTATATTATCATTCTATTATGCTCTGTCTCAATTTAAGAAACACAAGAAAGATAAGAGGATAGGGACCTTTGACAAATTCCTTTGCATGCTTCTTGCACGGTGGATAACGACCAGGGTACGATAATATAGGCACCGGTAAAATCCCTGATAGCAGCAACCAAATCATAAAGATGTATTGCTGGGCAGATCATGCCATTCTCATGAAACCTTGGACCGTTTGCATTCATTGGCCTTTGTGATCCTAATATGAACCGCCGACAATAGCTTTACTTTTCACACAGTTCACACACAATAACCAACTGAATGGACATAAACAAACCTCCTTTTCTCTTCAAAACGTAGAAGTTTGCAAGCTTGAAGCCACGGCAATAGCTTCCGAACAATCAAAGATCTGATTACCACCTGCTATACACCGCTGATTAATTCCCATCCATCAATGTCACATGATATTCTAACCATGCACTGCAAGCAGTACCTGGTCTTAGCACCTGCGGCATTGCACACTGCGCACAGGGTGGTCACCAGTGGGTGGGGAGACATGGATACAGCATACACCACCATGCTACCAGCTCTGCTTCTGAGGATGATCCACAACCAGATCTGGATCAGCTTGTCTCGCCACCAAACCGCACGCAGGAAGCACATCATCGTTGACCGCGGTCTTGAATTCGAGCAGGTGGACCGGGAGAGCTCCTGGTAAGCCATATATGCACACGTCCTGCTATTCACTTCTATCACACTCAAATTAACTGGCACATACCTGAAATACAATGGTCCATCACAATCAAATGCTAAAATATGCTATCTTGTGTGTAATGCTAAGCTGTCCTTACCATTCTGTACAGGGATGACCAGATCATCCTCATGACGCTGTTTTTCTACTTGGCCTATGCAACCATCCCGAGCGTCAGGCTCATGCCAATGTGGGAAACAAAGGGAGCCATCATCATGGCGTTGCTTCACATAGGACCTGTTGAATTTCTCTATTACTGGTTCCACAGGGCGCTGCACCACCATTTCCTTTACTCTCGCTACCACTCACACCACCATGCCTCCATCGTCACAGAGCCCATAACCTGTAAGTAGTAGCATTCAGAACTGAGGGTTAACATGATGATGAATAGTTTCACCATCTTTAAGAACAAACAGTGGACCACACACACAAAAAAAAGCATTTCATCACTAGTGGCATTAAGTTCACAAGTGTCTAGATTATGCATAGCAAACAATTTGGCGAATTTGTGATCTAAAAACTGACAAAACCACTATTTTTTTTAAGATAAATGACATCTGAAAGCATCTGCACATGCATCAAAGTCTCGTGTGTTGGAGTTACAATATCCATTCTGATTCCAGGAGCATAAGGAATTCAAAGCATAGATATGTCCAAAGAAAACAATAGAAGTCTCATGGACGACATTCTGAGACTAAATATATTGTTCAGAAATAAGGTGTTACCATCTTGGTCTTTCCAAAAAACAACCCAGTTTAGATTTCTCTACATGTTCTATTGCTTAATGAATCTCCAAGTGCTTGGTACGTTAACAATTAGTGTTCCATTTTGCAGAAAGCATGTTGATGTGGTATTTGTGAAGCTAATGCACAACTCTCTTTTAACCTAATGAAATTTTACCATATGATTGGCAGCTGTCATCCATCCATTTGCTGAAATCTTAGCTTACTTCGTGTTATTTTCGATCCCCATGCTGATACCAATTTTTATGGGATATGGTTCTATCCTGGGCGTTGTCCTATACCTGGCTTACATCGACTTCATGAATAATATGGGACACTGCAACTTTGAGATGCTCCCAAAGTGGATATTCCAAGTTGTCCCTCCTCTCAAGTATCTCATGTACACTCCATCGTAAGTATAACATTTTAAGCTCAACCTTACAATCATGTTAACATGCAATTAGGCGATGAGACTTTGGGTCCCTTATATTCTTAACAAAATTTACCAGTCGATTCTACAAACAATGCACAAAAGTTAAAATGGTTAGTCATAGCTTCATAAAACCACAAACCTAATTATTCAAAGGTATTTTTCACATCTCCACAGGTATCATTCTCTCCATCATACACAGTTTCGTACAAACTACTCATTGTTTATGCCATTCTATGACTACATATACAACACCATGGACAAGTCAACTGACGAGCTGTATGAGAGAACACTGATTGGAAAAGAGGAAACACCAGATGTCGTTCACTTGACGCATATCACCACCTTGCAATCGACTTATCATCTAAGGGTTGGGATTGCCTCTATAGCTTCTAAACCCTCAGATAACCCTGTATGGTATATGTGGATGATATGGCCAATGGCATGGCTGTCAATGGTACTGGCATGGGTTTATGGATCCTCTGCATTTGTCGTCGAAAGTCTCAAACTGAAGAAGTTCAAGATGCAAACATGGGTGATACCAAGATACAACTTCCAAGTAATTGGATTTCCGCGTTGTATGAATCTTATGCCTTAATAGGTGCAAATTGATAGGATTTTCTCCATTTGCAGTATGGCCTGATTAGGGAGAGGGAATCCATCAACAAGTTAATTGAGAAGGCAATATTATATGCGGATGGAAGAGGGGTCAAAGTGCTCAGTCTTGGACTCCTAAATCAGGCATAATGACCGAAACTTTTCTTGCATAACTCCCTCTTTATACTTGCTTCCACATGACACTTAGCTTCTGATGCATGTTAATTGACATGTTGCAAAAAGTCAAATGCATGCTAATTTCACACAAATGGTCAGCGCAAAGATATTAACCCTCATATTCTTGGTCCCAGGCAAAACAACTCAATGGAAGTGGTGAACTATTTACAAATAAATATCCAGAATTAGGAGTTCGACTTGTTGATGGAAGTGGCTTAGCAACAGCAGTTGTTCTCAAGAGCATTCCTTCAGATACAAAGAGAGTTTTTCTCTGTGGAGGCAATTCTAAGGTAGAACACGCAGTAGCTACAGCTTTATGCGAAAGAGGTGTCCAGGTACCTATCAGCCAGCTATTTTTGTTGATTTCGTTTAGCAGCACATTTTGTATGAATTGATCTCACTGTATACAAGAATAACTATAAATATGTGCAATTTTGTGTAGGTAATCATGAATCAAAAGAAAGAATATGACATGCTCAAGTTGCGAGTTCCAGAGAGCAGTGTTGCCTATCTGAAATTCTCCAGTGACGAAACACCGCAGGTAAAAGTTATCTGGAAAAAGGGATGAAAATCGTCAAGAAGCTTTCTAGAGTGGATATATCATAAGTGGGGTATAACTAGTAGAAATATTAGACAGGACCGTGAAAGCTTCTATAAACCTTGTCAAACTAATTCACCTAATGTTTTTTGACGGAAAACAGTAGCACACATTATGCTGTAGTATCATCTACCAGCAAATCACAAGAAATTACACTGTAAATATATGTAGCTAGCAAAATAGGAACAAACACTCTGAGAAGCAATATATTCAGTGACTACTTCTTCACTACTATACAGATCTGGATAGGAGATATTATAGATGATAAGCAACAAATCAGGGCACCAAAAGGAGCAACATTTATTCCCACATCACAGTTTCCCCTTAAAAGGACACGCCAGGATTGCACTTACTTGAGCAACCCTGCAATGAAGATCCCAGAGGCAATGCAGAACGTCCACACCTGTGAGGTACTAATGATATGTTCTCATTACCTGGTTCTGTAATTTGACATACACAACTTCCTATCCAAGATTGAAATAGATAATGTGATTGACACTGACTTGTGCTGCTACTCGCTTAATGGATAGAATTGGCTTCCAAGAAGGGTGATGAGCGCATGGCGTGTTGCTGGAATGGTACACGCACTACAAGGTTGGGACATCCATGAGTGCGGAGATGATATGATGGACATCGAGAAGGTCTGGTCGGCAGCTATTAAGCACGGATTCACTCCTCTGTCTAAAGCCTGATTCTTCTGAATCCTGGCAGATATGTTACTCAATAATGATGCGCATTTGAGATTCAGTGTTGTGGAGTGTCAGATAAGTACTAGCTTCAATGAGCAGGGTTCGCATATGTCTGGATAGAAATCCCTGAGCACGGTATCGATAGTTAAGTACCTTGTATCATACTACATGAAATAAATGAATTACCAACTCAAAGTAACTCATTAAAGCATATGCCGCATTATCAGTACTAGTAAACATGCCCGTGCGTTGCAACGGGCCCGATAAATACGGCTCAAGACCCCCACAATTCAACGTCTTCTATTTCAACACAGTGTCCCACCCGTGTCACCACTTGTCTTAGTCCCTCACCGACACCGTGACCCCCACAATTCAACGTCTTCTATTTCAACACGGTGTCCCACCCGTGTCACCACTTGTCTTAGTCCCTCACCGACACCGTGTCACCACTTTTCTTAGTCCCTCACCACCGGCGATTACCGCAGTGTCCTCTAATCACAACATGTCTGGACTTCGTCAATCCCAGCCATTGCGACACACATGTCATTAACGTGCAATCACAATGGAATGTTTAAAACATTAAAAACTAATCTTGTCGAGCTGGACATGAGGATCGCTCTCCGCAAGCTATTCCCTACACTTGGTCTCACGCATCCCGCTACAGTGACAACATGGAGGCCGTCGTGGAAAGTAGCACCCTGAGTAGGGTGTCATTGGCGGCCATCGCAGTGCTTCACTACCATGAGCGGGATCAAGGACTTGGGTTGTGGAGGGTCACTCAAAGTCTGATCTGTTGTGCATTGTTGATGGGTGCCAACGGCCGAACCGGGGATTGGTCATCACACTCTAGCACGCGGCTTTCATGAGCCCCTTCCTACACCGACTTGTAATTATGAAAATTTATAATGACGGTGGGCTTCGCCCTAGTCCCATCTAGCAGAAGACCCGTGTGTTGCTATAGGCAAAAGGTGAAAAATATCTCCGCATGCACCATCGAAAGCGTCAAAATCATCTACTTTTTGCCTCTTTGTTGACCATTATGCGGTTCACCGATCTAAGCTCCATCCTGCGGAGACACGATGTTGAGTGAGGGGATGCATCAATGTCGACGGTCGGGCATGCACCTCTCGCAAAAGTGAATTGGAAGTAGATGGCATGCAAGGGTAGGTTGACGACAGCAGCTGGCAGAAACTTCGAATATGGAGCAAGGATAAATAGACAATCAAGTCATGGTCTCCTTTTCTCTCTTATTACTAACTAACTAATTCAAATTTTTTTACATTTATCAAAAAAACATCTTAAGAAACAAATACCCTTTCCTATTGATTTTAGCTCTAAAGCTTTTTGTTGCCTCAAACTCACTGACCTATATTGAACCATTCAATATATAGCACACCCTTTTTTGGGGAGCGGATATATACTCCTAGAGTCTATGCCTCCATTTTTCTATGGTTCTCATTGACTGATAACTACACATCAAGTGCACCTTGATACTGGTAGCAACTGGTCGCGCACTCCCACACTCGCTTTTTTATTATAGGGCCAAGATGATACGATCGAAAATAATTCAAGCCCTATATCTGCACAACAAGATGTAACAGAACATCCTTTCATTTCATTGATCAAAGCATATTTGTAATCACTCAATTCATAGTTTTGAACATGTCAATGGCAGGACTGACACGTCCAACAATCATACATATGTTGTCAACTCTCCGCTTCGATGGCGGTGGCTAGGTCAACCTAGGTGCTAGGTGAGGAGACCATCATACGCAGTGCCAGTTCCTAGAGGGCATCCGAGGAGGCCGGAGAGGCTTGCCTCAGGCAGGAGCCTAGAGACGTCGTCCCATGCCCGGCAACGCCAGCCACTGCATTTCCTCGCTTGACAACTCGGCATTCTTTAAACAACCTGAAATAATTCGTAGTGTCATTAAAGACTGAAGTAAAGTTTGATTTAAAAGTTTCTTCAGTGCTATATTTACCACTGGTATGAGTAAACCTTAGCAATAAATTAACGAAAAATGTATTTGGCAACCGTGTGGCAGATTGCGAAACTGCCACACGCATCTAGCGCCGTCAGTTTCCCCCTGATCTCCTTCCTTCCCTGCACGTCCTCTTGATTTCTTTCCTTTCCCGCATGCCTCCCGATCTCCTTCCTTTTCCGCACGACCTCCCCCGATTTCTTTCCTTTCCCGCACGCCCTCCCCGATTTTATCGGGCACACCCGCTCGTGCCTTCCTAATTTTCGTAATCGTCAATTATGGCCCACGCGCCTTCCCGATTTTCAACAAAAATAATGCTTGGACTAGGATTTGATCTCTGTTCTGCAGGTAATCAACAAAGGGAGCTAACCACCTCACCGATGACACTCATTGTTGAGCAAGCTAAGGGAAATACTGTTTTTGACATGTTCGTGGTAACTTTGATCATTGGGAATAAATTTGTTGAACCCGCCCCCGGTAATTTCTGTAAATAGCACGATAACATTCACGCCATAGACCTGATAATTTAGATACAAACATCACGGTAACTTTAACCATTGAGGAAGACAAATGTGAAAAGATACTCGATAATTTATGTATAAATAGATGGTAATATACGCAGCGCACATCTGATAACTGAGGTAGAAACACCATGGTAACTTTGACCGTAGGGATTTTTTTTGAAAAGATACTCCGGCATCTTCTATGTAAATAGCACGGTAGTATACCTCCCTCCCCTGGCATTTTTATGTGTAAATAGCATGAAAACATATGCACTGCGATAACTAAACACCATGATAAGTTTTTGACCCATGAGGGGAGGGGGTTTGCTAAAACATACCCCTGATAAATTTTGTGTAAATAGCATGATATTTTAAGCATTACGGGCTTGATAGGTTACCTAGAATCACCATGATAACTTTTTGTCCCGGAAAAAAGTTGTTCAAAACATCCTCAATATTTTTTGTGTAAATAACATGATAATATAAGCACCGCATAACCGATAACTTGCAATATAAACATGATGATAACTTTTTTATCAAAGGAAACTAAGTTATTAAAAACATACACTCGCCTCGCGCGTGGGCCTCTTGGATGAACAGAATGCATGGCGTGCCACAAGAAAGTCACATAATATTTAGTGTCATGAGGGCACACGTGCTATAGGCATGATAAGTTACGCAAAAACTTCGTGGTAATTTTTAACCTATGGAAAAAGCTACCGAAACACACCCAGATTTTTAGGTGCAAGTACCATGATAATATACGAACTGTAGACCCGGTAACTCATGTACAATCCCTCATGATAACTTTGACCGGGGGAGGTTGATGTACATATACCCTGATAACTTATGTGTAAGTATCACGGTATTTTACACATTGAAGACCTTATAACTTGTGTACAAAACACAGTGGTAACTTTGAAGGGATGTAGTTTTTGAAACATAGATACCTGGTACATTCTATGTAAATAGCACGGTAAGTTATGCAACACAGGCCTGATAACTTGCATACAAATATCATGGTAACTTTGTCCCGAGGAGAAATCATGTGGTAGACGTGAAGAAGTGACAGTTTTCTCAGGGGTGGGTGCCCGAGATGTACGGGAGAAGCGGATTTCTCGGGCGAGCCTACAGGGTCGTTTGGGAGGAGGCGAGGTCAAAGGACGAGGAATCGTGTGGTACTTTAAAATGAAAAAAGTAGAGGTGTGGCAGTTTTGCTTATATGACACACGTGTGCCAAATATCACAGTCCATAAATTAATATGGTCGGTAAGATACATATGATTTTTCAGTAAGAATTCACCCTTCCAAAGCACGAAACTTGCAGATTGCCACCCATCTTCAGTCACACTTGAGACCAGAGAGACTGAAATTGAAGGCGCTGGAATAGACCTCATCTTCCTGGAGGTAAGAGTTATTCAAGAGCTCACTTGCAGGAAGTCTTTCATCTACAGGAGCTAGACAGATTTCTATGAAATTCTACTTGTGTTCCTGACTCTAAGTTATACCTACTGAAGTATTTTAGCAGTAAACATTATGTTAGCGTCAGACTTACATAGTTGCTTTCGAAGAGCAAAAAGTTTAACGCAGCTGTATTAGCAGGTCAAAAGTAACACCCGTTAACTCCATAATCCTAAATCTCAAGAAAAGACTCACCAAAAAAAGAAATAACATGTAATAAACTGTTACCAGGAGTCCAGCATCGAGGACATCGCCTTTTGAAGAACAAATGCCAAGTGTATGTGAGCTAAATATACTTATACAGATCTAGGGGATACGATGAGACTATGCTTCCAAGCACAGAAAGAAGTACATGATCGGCAATGGCACAAACAAATCTGCACATAGTAAATAATCTGATACAGTATAGACTATACACCAAGGGAAAGCGGAACAAAGCGATTCACAAAATGTACAAACTTTACTCTACAGACTCTGCAGGCTATAAAATCAGAACATATATATACTCAGGTGCAGATTCTTCAAAATAACTTCAATTGGTTGCACCTTTTCTCAGATCAAATACAAATAGTGGCTGCATTTGTGTAGAACAAAGAATGAAGCATTCATAGCTTAGCTGCCCTTTGCTTCAGTTAAACAATACGTGCTAGCTTGCTTGATGGTTGTGCCCAAAAAATCCAGAGTGAACAACTCTGAACCTGGCTCTAGCTAAAAGAACAAAATCATTGGCTTAGGTAAGCTTTACTCAGGTTGCTTGATGGTTGTGCCCCAAAAATTCAGTCAATAACTCTGAACCTGACTCTAGCTAAATTACAGACACTGTGACATGAGTAGCAACCTGAGTAAAGCTTACCTAAAAGAATAACATCACAGAGGCCTCTCACCAAGGACCCGGGAAGCATGCGTAAAACTGATGCTCCTTTCCATAGGAGAAATATAAGTGAACTGACAATCAACTATTCTAGTCATCCATGCTTATATATAGTATAAAAATATGGTGAGTTCAGAAATTAATCTTTTCTTTAAAACTAAACAAAGAAGGAAAAGAAACATACAT